TCAGTGAGCCCCATGTCCACCCCACCACCCCACCCCACCAGTTAGGCCACGACATCATTCAGTGTCCATGACGCAGGACGCAGTGACCACAAAGCTGCTGTTTCCAGTGTGAATCAGGCGGTGATGACTGCAGATCCGGGTTAAATGTAACAGTCAGAAAGAGCCCCTCAGTTACATAAATCCCCCAGGTAGAAATGCTTTAGAGCAGACAGTTTTATAAGAAAATAAAATGTGAGCAAAGACCTTCCCCATGAGAATACTCCTATGTAAATAAACCCAAAGGGTGAACAGTTGTGGAAAATGAAACTCTGAACAAACTGGCCCTGAATATGCTTAAAAATACTTTAATTTTAGTGACATATCAGGACACAGTGCAAACAGTTATTGGGGTAATTGATTAGTCAAACAAAAAAATATACAATAGTGAATCAGTTATGTCTATTTGTAAGTGAAAATACCAAATATTAGTTGGTTCCAGCTTCTCCCATGTGAGGATTTGTCACTTTTTCTGGTATTATATTGCTGTACACTGAATACCTTTTTTAGGTTTTTTGATTATTTGTCATTGTTTCACAGACCAAATGACAAATTAATTACTTAAAAAAATAATCTCATTATTTGCAGCCCTAATTTCCAGTACCAGCAGAGAGACCCATCCAAACCATAAAGTTCGAGGTTATAATGGGATATTTGTTTTTTTTCTAAATGACTGAAAGATGATGTTTTCTCTTGTTTTTCCAGCTACTGAAGACTCTCAAAAGACTGGGGGAGCTTCCCATGACTGTGCATATCCTGGTGGTAAGGATTTGTTCATTCATCATTCACATCCTCCATTTCTAAACTAGAGTATCTGCAAATACAATCAAAATAGAGAAAATAATGCTGGACCTCAGAGTCTGACCAACAAGATCAGTAGATCCCCACTGATGTGTTTTAGCTGTAACAGCTTTGCTGGGAACAAAAATGCCCTGTTCACTTGTTTTTTTTTTCTTTTTTGCTCGGTGATATTTATGGTAATTATCAGATAACTCTGCTGAAGCTGCCAGCAACATTCTCACAGCTCTAAAAGTAAAATTTACGCAGAGAGAATGTAGACACTTTCCATGGAATATTTACCTACGAAAAGACTTGTAGGCTAAAATACAGCTGTAAATGATCAAACCTTTCCTTGTGCTGTTGAGTTAAACAAGTAGACTAGGACTTAAATGTTGGACGCAAGAGTGATTACTGTCCATGCACGATGTTTTTTCTCCTAGGAAACAGGAGTGGGGAAGACTGTGAACTCCTTTAGGAAGCATGAAGTTGCTGGTGAGACAGCGAAAAGCCTCGTAGCCAAATGGAAGAAACTGGTTCCTCAGTCTGCAGACAGGTATGTCAGCATACTTGTGCCTCCACATGCAAATGGTAGTAAGATGTGGAGTGGTCCCTGCTTTAGCTGTCAAGTGTCTGCACACTGTATGTCAAGTGCTGCTATAATTATAATCAGTGAAGCTGTTGTATAGTAGCAGTCCAGTTTTTTTGGCTTCTGACTCCTTAAAACCAAGAGCTGTTAAGACAGAAGAGTTGTGACTTTGAGGCAGCAGATCATGTGATTCATGTAAAAAGTCACTTTCACCACAGCAAACCGTCACACTGACGACTCGCATGTTGACATTTGGCATGTGTTTTACACCGGATGCCCTTCCTGATCATGTGATTGATGTAGCTTCAAATACTTCCAAACAGTCAATTAAGATCCACTGTTTTCTGTAGGGATAAGCAAGATTTATCAGCAATTACTATTTTTAATGTACAGCTTTGCAAACTAATTCTCTGTTCTGTTGCTATAGATAGCTCAGTTAATTTAGCTAGTTAGCATGGTACCTAATTATAAAAGTGACTGAATATTAGCGTGGGACAGTCAGAAAGCTATTAAAACATCTTTTGACGTTTCGCTAACTTAATTGTCACAATTACTGCTATTGATTTCAACTTCTTACTTTGGAAGCTAGCAGCGAAGTCAATGTAACTGTATAGTGCTGCTCCTAATGTTTGGAACTATTCGACATTCCCATGATTCGCCATTACTGTAAAAACGGTCTTTATAGAGTTGGTGGAGATGTCGTCATTCTTCTTAATCCACTCTGCTAAAAACAAGGCAGTGGGTCCTTGTAACATATCAACATGGGTTAGATGTATCTATAGAAGAGGCCCTTAGCAAAGTTTGTAATTAATACTAAATGATATACAAAGCTGAATACATTTTAGTTACAGTATAAATGTTCTAATATCTTTCATCTGGTCTCATACTGGTCCACATGTTAACTAGTGTGTTCAGACAGTCTCCCGGAGAGTGACACAGGAGATCACAGTGCCAGTGGGCTGTGCAGCTTAGCAGAGCTTGCTTACTCTAAGATGTGAAATGAAATGATTGGTCATATTTTATTCTCTCGCTGTATGTTTTGTGTGTAGGAACATCCTGTAGCCTGACAGACTCGGTCGCCATTTTGTTGACTCACTGAACAAATCTTGAGACGTGGGTGGTGATTCACAGGTCTGAAACCAGGCCAGTTCTGTGGAAGACGGGAGTGATAGGAGAGAAAGTGAATCAGAATTGTGTTGACGCACTGTTTAGTAAATGTAACAACTTTCAGTCACTGGTGCTGGTGTAAACAATATTAGAGTACTTCCATTTGATGGACTGGCGCAGCCGTAATGAAGCTGGAGTGTCAGCATTAAACAGTAGCTTCAGTGAAGACCTGAACAAAATAACACAGAATATACATGATGCTGTTGGACTGTGTGGAGTAAGATGATTATAGCAACCTGATCTTTATAGACATTTTGTATACGCCACTAGATGGAGTGCAGAAGATAAAGAATACGTCTTTTTAAAGCTAATGGAAATACAAGGACTGGGAACATTTCATTACAGAGGAGGAAAAACTCTGTGTTCCAGTCTGGTGTCAAGTTACTGTTTAATACTGTAGGTCTTCTAACTACTAGTAACACATATTTTTGTTTACCTTCTAAAGATTTATCATTTTATTAGGCCACTGTATGTTTTACGTGTCAACCTGTATTCGGCAAAGTAATTTGTGACGGAAAAATGTTTCTACCTCAGAGCCAACAGCCACGCCAAAGAAGCCTCTCGGTCCCACACACACTCGCGAGGCCCAGAGGCAGGTGGTGGAGGAGGCCACAGACGCACCCGGGAGCCTTCCCCTGTGGAAGAGCCCTCCTACATGGAAGGAGGACAGAGCCTACCACACCAAGTCCTTGCCCTCGCCTCCTCAGCATGAGCAGTACAGCCCCCCACAGCAAGGAGGCTACCAGTCCGAAGAGTATGAGAGCCTCGAGCCTGAGCCCAGTCCTCCTCTTCCCCCTCCTCGCAAAGAAGCCCGCCACAGCAAACCCAACAAAGAGCCCAGCAAGAACCACCACCACAGAGACCGACACAGGGACGAGGAACGGCAGCAACGCCACGCACAGACGAGTAGTGATCGAGGAGGAGGAGAGGTCAGAGAAGGAAAGAAACGTAGTGCAGACAGAGAGAGACAGAGTCCGGTACAGAAATCTGCCAAGCACAGCAGGAAGTCCACCACACACGAGAGCAAGGGGGAAGAGAAGAAGAAAGGAGGCAGCGATGGTGAGTGTGTCTCTGTGCTGCTTATGTATGTTAACTGAGGTTCACAGTGAGTTTAATGCAAGAGGCAGTTTTCATTTAGTAGTGTAAATTTGATCAATGTCAATACTATGTCCATGTCAAGTCAGTTTTGACAGATCTGGGGGTTTTTTTATCCATGCGTGTGTCTTCCTCAAGCTAACGATAAATACAGCCAGACAGTGATCGTTCAGTTCTGTTACACTGTTTAGAAAGCAGGGATACATTAACTTCAGCGGCCTGTGGCTGGTTCAGTGCTTGAACTGTGAAGACTCTGCACTTGTTTTGATGCTCCAGAGCAGCATTTTTAAATACAAGGCTTCATTATCACCTTTGGTCACGTTTGCTTTCTCGTAGAAGCCAACATAATGATTATGTGATCGTGAGAGAGTTTGTTATGCAGCTCTGTGCAGAGAAGATGTTTCTTTTTTATCAGCCTGGATCTTAAGAGTGTTGCCACAACAGCAGAAACATCCTGTAGCGGCTGATGGTGACTCTGTAGGTTCACTGTTCAGTAACTCTGCTGACAGGAAATTACAACATTTAAAAACAAAATACAAATTGTTTCATTGACAACACTGAGTGATTTCTCTTTCCTTAGAATATTGGACACATTCACATTAAAGGTTACTTCTTTAAAATGTGAGTGTTTGATGCTTTCATTTGTCAGTTATAATAGTAAAATCAATATCTTTGGATTTTAGACTAAAACAGCTTGTACTGTCTGAAATCATAAGGGGCATTTATTCCAATGTTCTGATAGTTTATTGACAAAAACATTATTAAATCAAGGAAATAATCACCAGACTTGAAGATGAAGATAATAATTGTTAGTTGCAGTTCTAGCTGCATGAAATTTTACAAAGCAATTAAACCAGTAGTCAAAAAATACTTGGCAGTTTAATTATGAAAATAATCCTTAGATGCAGCTCTAGTTAAGAAGCTCTTTAAGTGCTGTTTGACAGGTTTTACCATCCTTCAGCTCCTGGTCCTTGTGTCACTTGGGGGAAAAGCTGCCCTCCAAATTAATGTAATGAGGTGAAGATTACTTTGAAACCAGTTATTTTTAGTGAGCATAGTTCGATTAACACAGGCTAGGATCCTGACCTCCCATGACTCACTTCCTCCCCTCACTTTTCTCTTTCCGTGTGTGACTCCAGGGTGGCCGCGAGCCCCGAAGGAGTTTCCACCCAAGGAGGAGGAAGAGGACTTCGAGACTCCCACCATGTCCTTTGAGTCCTTCCTTACATACGATGCCCCGACGTCTGTCAAGAAGAGGAAGAAGCTGCAGTCGTCGTCACACAGTCGCCCATCTCACACTTCCTCATCCACGTCGTCTTCTCATCGTACACGCACCCCTCCACCTCCTTCGACCTCCTCATCCTCGTCCGCCAAAAAGGTGAGCAAGGCGGATGGCAACAAGAGGCTGCATTCAAGGTCCAGTTCATCAGCTGCTGCACCAAAACCGGAAAAACACAGGAGGGTAAGAACAAACACAGAGTTTATATTGTGCAAACTTAACAAGACGGTTTGTAAGAGCATCAATTCTCATATTGTTCTTGATGGTTTTCTACAGTAAACATCAGCCTGTGTTTAACAGTTAATCTCTCCGTTAGAGAGAGTTTGACAGGCTTTTGTTTTAGGTATAATTTAATTTAGCCTGCAGTTAGCTGTTATTTTAATAAGCAGTTAGTCTACCATTTCTTTTCTTGATTAATCGATTAATAATTTGGCTCAGAAAATGTCAAAAATGTAAAAACATGCCTGATACAGTCCACACCTTAAATATAATCAGTTTACTGTCAAATGAGACAAAAAAGCATCAGATTGTCACAAATCCTCACATTAAAGAAGCTGCAACCAAAGTGTCTTTGGTATTTATTTGAGAAATGACTGTAATTATTAATTGATTATTACATTTTTTTGTCCATTGATCGACTAACTGATTCATGGAGTAATTGTTGCAGCTCTGAATTTAAGCCTGGTGTGTTTAAAAAGTGAAAATCTGATGAGCTCTGGGGGGTTTTAAGGACTTTATTTAGCCATGAGATTGTCAGTCTCTCTCCAGGAACTAAAGCTGTGCTTTTATTTTGTAGAATCACATTACCTAGCAACAGCAGCACACACCTCAGTCTCAGTTGTATAGAGATGAGCAGTGACCTTGTAGGTTTTAAATGCTGCATTTCTTTTCCACTTGTGTAACAGCTTTATCAAAATAATATGATAATTCACTTTCTTGCTCAGAGTTAAATGAGAACTGGAGCCAGCAGATGGTTAGTTTATCTTGGCTTGGAAGAAAACACCAGAAACAGGGAGAACGAGTCTGGCCAAAGATTAAATCCAACTACTTCTAAGAAAAACACACTATAACCTGACAAGTGACACTGTAGTTAGAAAAAATCCAAGACCAGAGTAGTTGTTGCTCCTGATTCCAGAGTTTGACAGTGTCGCTTATTTGACGTAACTGAGCAAGGAAGTGAATAAACATATTTCTGGTGTAATTTGGCAGCCTTTTCCCACTAACTTCATTATTTATTGTATAAAGTTTCTGCATGTCCCGCTTGTTGATGTGATCATATTGTTGCGTGCAGGTGGTTGAGGCTGTTCCAACTCTTCCTGAAATTCCTCTGCCGGCAATTCAGCCCAATTACAGACCTCTGCCCTCGATCGACGTCACGCCGCTGTCCCCGCAGAGACGGAAAGGTAACACCCCCAGCTTCAGATGAAACTTTATGTGATGTTTTCACACCTATGCCATATTCAATCTCCTCTAAAAGTCAGGAGACTAACAAAGACAAATTTAAAGTTGGTAGTTTCTACTTCTGGGCTTGTAATGTCACTGTGACACGTCATTATTTCTGTTTGTTTACCTTTTTGTTACCTGAGTAAGTGCACCAATCTTACAACACATTGTAATCCAGAGCAGCCTGCAGTCCATATCTTTTTGTGTTCTTGTATTTGTGCACAAAAATAACAAACTGTTAAGTTCCCTCCTTTTGCAGCATTCAAGGGCTCTCCTCCTTTCTTCACAAAGAGAGGGTCTCCATATTTTCATCATTTTATTGCTCCAAGAATGAGGCTAGAATAATAAAGACTAATAAAAAGGAATCATAGAATAAGATAAATTGTTTCAGAGCTGAACAGTTGCTATGACTTCATGCTTTTTCTAGTGGTGGTTCTCCAGTCATGCACAAACTTCACTCTGATTGTGTCTGGCATGGAGGTGAGCAGATGATACTGACTAAACTTTTTCTCCCTGTGCAGCCAAAACCCTCTGAGGCCTGAAGGCTTCTCTTTTGCTCAGGCTCTTCTTCACATAATTTGGATGTCAAATACCAAAAACAAGATTTGACATGTTCAACCAAGTGAATTATTGCATTCATATGAAACCTGGTCAGATTCTTCTGTGTACCAGCATATCTAAAACTGTCCATGCCAACAACGCCTCAAGGCCTCCCCCATATCGAGCTGTCTGACCTTCACCCCCCCTCTGTCTTTACTTTCAGTTCCTGCCTACAATGACGAGGAGGACACCGGGTTCACAGGGAAGCGGTTCAACTCCAAGATGGTGGTCTACTCAGGATCGAAGAGCTCTTACTTGCCCAAGATGATGACTCTGTATGAGCAATGCATCCGAGTGCTGCAGAACAACATTGATTGTGAGTAGAACTGCTGCATTTTGCTTTGTGTTCACACTATAAGCAACAAAGCTACACAACAGTCGTGGGTCTTTCAGCAGGTGGCACTAGAATGCTTCTGCATGTTGTCACAAGCTTGTGTACAATCAAGTAAGCACTATAATGTGTTCATAATGTTGTTTTTCATTAATGAAGATAACAAGTCAGTAACTCTGTGTAACAAACACAAAAATATATAGAGAATTAGTTTTGTATTGTCTTTTCATTTTTCTTCCTGCTGCTGTTCCACATCTGCACCAGAGGCTCAGTTGGCAGGGATCCCAACCACACTCAGCTCTATCTCCATCAGTATCACAGGGCTGCCAGCTCTCTCACTCAGTGTCATGCTAACCAAACACAAGCAGAACGTGGCATCTTATCTCTGACTTTCATATCTGTGGCATCACACAGCAGCAGGGACAGTATGTGCGTCTCCACATTAAGATAGGGGCATTGCACAATTCAGGCACGTGACAGACCAACTGACTGTATATAAGATGGACAAACCCACTGTGAAGCTTGAAGCTCCAGTTTGGCCATTGCCATCTTGGTAGAGCTTTACTCTGCCTGCTACAGCTAATCGAAAAATGGGCAAAGAGGTGGAATGTAAATGGCGCTCGCTAGACAGCTGGTGGCGGGACTCTCCAGCCTGTCACTCATAGCAGCTATGCCCTTAATTGTGCATAACTTTTAGCCTCAATATAATTGAACCAGGTGAGTTATATAAAAATTCACCCCCATACAGTTTTCATAGAAGGGGACATTAGCTGTAGAGACCAAAACAGTTTTTGTACTAGGCTATAAATGTTTATTTCTGCTGTAAAGTTGGGCATTTTAACATGGCAGTCTATGAGGATTGACTCCTTGTTGGAGCCTGCCTCAAGTGGCCGTTCAAGAACCTGAAGTTTTGGCATTTCTGCATTGGCTTTATTTCTGAGCCTTGGATGTTGCTCCTTGGACAGAACAAATGATGTGGAGTTACAGTAGCCCGCATTCATTTAGGTTAGTAGCCTAAATTCTTCTTTACACAGCGAACTCTGATTCACAGTTTCCATAATGAAATCACTGGAAACAAAGCAGCTGTGTTCAAAATGAGTCCAGTCCAGAGCTGTTTGTACATTTTTATTCCCAACAGAAGTCCAAATATCGTTTTCTCTGGAGAATCACAATATTTTTGTGATTGGTCATGTGGATCATTACAGGGAGTTTTCAGCATTGCTGTTTAAATGTAATCATTTTTGCAGTAGTGGTATACACAAAAACCCTTGTTGACAGCTGCCAGTTTATTGGGCTACAGGCCTGTATATTTGGGGTGTTGCATTATAGTCTCATGGGACTTAACATGGAGGCGAGCTTTTTTCCTTCAAATGCATTTAACGTGTTGCTTCACCCGAATTATGAATAAAATAAAATAAAACATTCGTGCTTCTACTGGTGGAAACTGGACATGCAGGGAGTTGGATTCAGTTTGAGAAACTGGCTTTGACATTTCACCAATACAGTGGAGATTGAAAAGATGGAAAAGGAATTTAGTTTGTGGTATAGCATTTGGAAACAAAGACTACATTTAGAACATTTAACAGCAACATCTCTTTGCAGAAACAGGGAGTCATTGTTACTCTGGGCCTTTCACACAAAACAGTGTGTACAGTTTTCATTGTAGCCATTTACTGGTGAAGAAATAGTCAGCAGTCAGCAGTCAACAGTGTGGAAACCACCCCACCCAAACCCGACCCCCCACTCTGAAGTCCCAATTTAAGACTTGCATCTGTGGGAAGATTCCAGTACATTTTATTTCTTTTCCCAGTAGGTTGTGTGTGACTGTCTGTGTAGGTGCCAGCTGGACAGGTTTCACAGCAAAGGATAAAAGATAAACAGAAAACTTGTTAATTGATTGTACAAATATTTGAGAGTCAATATGTGCTCCTCTGTGGTCACCTCCTGACTCAGCACTGCTGTGGCTAGCTCCACCCACCCATTAGTGCAAGGTGGTTAAAACAAGTGAAAGCTAGTGCACAGGTGTGACTGTTTGGTGTCTCTGTGCTCTCTCAGCCATCGCCGAGGTGGGTGGAGTGCCGTTTGACATCCTGGAGCCGGTTCTGGAGCGATGTACGCCAGAGCAGCTGTACCGCATTGAACAGAGCAACCAGGTGACACACACGCACGGAGTGACATTATCAACCCTTAACCATTACAACTAAATACCTGACCCCACCCTGCACAAATAACACAATACACTGAAAGACTTTACAAGATTGGAAAGGTGGAATTTTTATTTTTATTTTTACTTTTATTACAACTGTACCTGTTACAGCTTGATGCAATATGAAAGATTTTTGCAGAAGACCACATGTACTGTAGTTCATCCCCAAAAATAAGTAGCCTCTAATTGTAAATGGATGAGTGGGTGATTAAAAATAAAAAGCATTTAATAAATATGGGTTAATATTTAATTTAAAAACACACCAGGGTGTGTCGGTATTTAGCACTGTCTACACATAGTAGAAAAAGTCATGCTTTTTCTTTTTTTAAAGTTGCTTTCTTCCCTCCTAACAGCACCAGTGGGTGTATGAGACACTCCTGTTATCTTTGTTTATTTGGACAAGTCATCTTGCCTGTAGGATTTCACAGAGATTTACGTCATTTCTTGGTTCTGCTATCAATCTAAGACATAAGTATTTTACTGCCATTAGGAACTCTTATAGTCTGAAATGTCTCCCAAAACATGGAATATTTTGTCACATGACCAGAAAGTGCAGGAATGATGAACATTTATATGGCCACACAATCTTCAAGACAGATAAACAACTAACAAAGAGCACATTTTCTGGAGTTTGCAGATGCTTGTTGTCACACACATAGGATGTAAGACCTTTGCTGGTATGTGTACATTTTGTACTGGTTCCCAGGTTACTCCAGGAGAGTTATAAAGAGAGCTACAGTATTATCTTTATGGAGTTGTAAACCTGATATGATTTTGAAATTATTCTTGAATTTATCTCTGTGTATCCTCCGACCTTCGTCTTAATCACCATGGAGCCCTCACCAGGCAGGGCCTATGCCTCCACACTGGTGATAACCATGGCCGGAGTCATTATGTATTCGGGTGTCCATTCGTATGCCCGTTCCATTCTCGTGAAGGCAGTATCTCAGAAACACCTCGGGGGAATTTCTTCAGATTTGGTACAGGTGTCCACTTAGACTCGAGGATGAATTGATTGGATTTTGGTGGTCAAAGGTCAAACCTCACCATGTGTCCAATTCCTATGAGTTTAACTGTTTGGTGGAAGCGTATAATCATGAAGCGGTAATTCTAGTTTGTTTCCTAATAATCCCCGATTTGTGAAAATAGCTTTTACTTTTTCTTCTTTCAGTGTTTTACGGAGGACTCTGATGAGTTGTGGATGCGTCACTGTCAGCGGGACTTCAAGCGCGAGTCTCCTCAGGAGTACGAGTCGTGGAGGGAAATGTATCTGAGGCTGCATGACGAGCGCGAGGAACGACTGAAGATGCTCACCCAAAACATCACCTCTGCACACGCCAACAAACCCAAAGGCAGGGAGAGTTTTCACTGACTAAAGTTTTGTGACTAACTGTAGAAGATGTGTGTACTGAAAGTTACTGAGACTGTGAGCTGGAGAAACCAAAACATTATCAGTTTCTAGTTACTGTATATGTTGAGTCACTGCTGAATCAGTCAGAAAGGACAAGGAGCATGATTTGGTAATATTTATTTACTAGGTTTTTTGAGTGTCCTGTTTTAGTGTGTTGTTTCTCTCCTGGCAGGGCGGCAGGTTAAGATGGCATTCGTCAATTCGGTTGCCAAGCCGCCACGTGATGTTCGCCGCCGACAGGAAAAGTTCGGCACCACCAGTGGTTCCTCCACCATTGCTGCAACTCTCATTAAGTCAGTTTTATACACCAGATTTCATCGTGTTGGCTTGCAAGTGGAAGTTGCACTCTAGGGATAAAATAACTCTGAACACTAAACCTATTCAGTTAACTGACAAAATAATCAAGAGGTTAATTGATAATGAAAATAGGTGAATATTGAAATGAAATTTTAAATATTCTCTCTCTCAGTTTCTGCTGTTCTTGGTTTAGTCAGGACTTTGAGGCACCTTGCTTTATTTTAGATTCACCAGACTCATACAACTTCTTCCTCCTGGCTTTCAGAATAAGGCCAGCTACCACAGACTGTTCTGGTGAATCCAGTCACTCCTCTTCTTCTTCCCAACACAACCCTCCTCCCAGCTCGTCCCGCGCCTCAGCACCGAGTGGAGGAGCATCAGCAGCAGCAGGGGGGGGAGGAGGAGGAGGAGGACACGTCGCCCGAGAGAAGCCACAGGTCAAAAGTAAGTCTGCGATAATGATCCTGAGCCATAGTTTAGGATAATAAAGTACCAGAATTATGTTTGTGCTCCTTCAAATCTAACAAATCATCTTTTTTGTTTTCTTGCAGAAATTGCCCCCATGATGGCCAAAACTATCAAAGCGTTCAAGAACAGATTCTCCCGCCGATAGTGTGAAAAAGACTGAATGTATTTTATGAATTCCCACTGTGTTTATAATTTAAGTTTAGCTAAATTTTACTGAAGACCCCTTCGTCCCTGCACACATGCACCGCAGCATCATCTCAGTCCACCAAATGCATCATATGAACTTTACAGTACTGGTGGAAGAGATGTGTTTTTTTTAACTGGTGGTTTCTGATTTGGGGTTCTTTAACTAGTATTTAAATCAGGAATGTTGGTCAAAGGGTTGTGGCATCTGTATTAAGACAATTAAGTCAATAACTTTTTACAGGAAGCAAAACACAAAGTGTGTCACTTTTTCTGTTGCAAAAGAACAGTTGGACATTTTGGGAAGTACACTAGTTTCTTGTTGAAGGTTAGATGAGAAGATTAATACTACTCTTGGCTGCATGGTAAATACATTGTCAAATCAAATCAGTTTTATTTATATAGCACTTTAAAAACAGCATCCAATTGACCAAAGTACTTTACATAGAAATCATGATGAATAACCAAAACAAAATTAAATAGGTTCATTATGTAGCTGGACCCAACAGCTGGTTAACTTATCTTAGCATAAAGTCTGGAAACAGGGAAAAGCTGCTAGCATAGCTCTGTCCAAAGGCAACAAAATCCATCTGCCAGCACATACACATAAACCAGGTGTAAAAACGACAGCTGAAAGTTTTACGAGGGTTGTGCTTTGGTGCCTGCATGTTACTATGTTACGTTGTAAGAATGTAATTCATGTCTTTAAAACGAGCAGTCGAAAGGCGACATATCTGATGATATTTAGATGTGGCAAAGTGGGATCACAGCTTCTGATGACCTGTGTCAGAAATCATGACCTTCATTGTGATGAACTTCTGTTGACGCTGGTAGATTTTCTGGGTGTTATTCAGCCTTTAACAAAAGCGAGAAAAATGCCGAATACCTGATAAATCAGGATGCAGCATTTACTGTTTTTTTTTGTTTGTTTTTTTGTTTTTTTTTAGGTACAGGTCAGAAAATGATCCTACTGTGCTTGCAAATTGAACAGAACTATATGCAGCGTCTAAATATTGTCAGGTATTTTGCCTTTGTTTTGAGTATTTTAAAGATTTAATAACCAACAACCATTTATAGAAAGTAACCCTCCCTGCAACAGCTCATCTAGCTGTCTTCCGGATATGTGCTAAATGAAGCAAGGAAAGTTTGTTTGTATAGAACATTTTTATACACAAAGGCAATTCAGAGTGCACACAAATAGATAAAACAGTCAAATGCATACAAAAAGCATACAGAGATAATATATTAAAATGCATATATAGGTAACTTTAGAATTCAAATTAGATTAAAACATTAAAAGCAACAATTACATGACAGTGTAGATACCTATTACTTCTAGGATAGCTGTTGTAGACTGGATTCTCACTTTTGTCATTATACTTTGTATACTTCAGTCTTATCAAGGAAAGCTGCTGGTTGTAGCTTCTCATTCATCATGGAGCCTGGAGATTGGCATTTATCTTCTCACCTAACTCATCAATTTTAACTTGATAGGATAGAACAAATGCTACATCTTTTAACTTAAGGAATACTTGTTTGTTATGTTCCTTTATGACCAAACGATACACTACGTTAGGAAAACCTTTATACGCTTTTGTTTTATCTTTTGCATGCATGGTGCAAGTGAACTGCAACATCAAGACTCCATCTCAGACATCAAATGGCTGGTGAAGGACTGCTTAAAAAAAGAAACCACAAACACAAATGTGAGTTTAAACATGTTTTGCCTGGTGACTTTTTCAGTGTGTAGGGCTACAATAATAGCTGTGAACCTCACACAAGCACACAGTGTAGACTTATTTTAACCCTCCTGTGGCTTCATACCATGATTTCCTGCTGTTGAATGTGTGCATCCCTCTTTATGTCTGCTTCACTGTGATAAAGAACTTGAATGATAGTTGACGAGATGAGGAACAACAAGGAAAAACAATAAGGAAAGCGGCTGATCTGCAGCTTCAGTCTGCAGAAAGGACAATGAGATGTATTTATTTTAAACACTGGGACCTGGCTCCCCACAACATGGGCCCAGTAGGAAGAAGGTGAAAAATTGTAATTTTATTAGATTTTAATAAATGTTATATGGTCATTTTTATTAAAATTGACTTTCACCCTTAAAGAGTGTCAGTGTGGAAATTTTTATATGGTGTAAATCTGCATTTTGTAAAGGTTTCTTAAGCAACACAAAAGTAATAATAATAATAATAATAATAATCTTTATTTGTACCGCACTTTCCAGCTCCAGAGCACAAAGTGCTACAACAATAAAAACATAGTAATACAATATTAGTTAAGAACACTCAAACAGACAGAAGCCAAATAGATATCCAGCGTCTGATATAGGCCA